TAGGCAAGAACCCACTTAAAATTTTTTTACAAAGATATGCCTCAATTTTAACTTACAGCATAGAAATGTACTTTTAGTTGCAGACCTTTTGACATGGGGTCTTTCTCCCATGAGTCAGCTTAGTTCTGCTGAGTTCTAGTGTCTCTCATGAAGGTTATTTGTTTACTGGAAAGGAAAGTTGAACGTAACTGAAGTCTTGATTCTTAGAGAAATTAAGCAAAACAATAGTGTGTGCAGAATCCTTAGTGCCCCCAAACGTTTTCAATACGAGCCCATTTCCAATTTAAAAGACACTGTTTTCAGGTCATTTTCTCAAGCTTTCCCCCAAATAGTCAACTTTAGCCTTTCACAGAAGCCTTTTTTCCCCACACTCATGCCAACAGTTCACATATTTCACTGAGGTTATGTAATTCCAACTGGAATAACCAGATTTGAAGCAAGCAATTGGCACTTGGCAAGCAAAACATCTTCAATAGGTGGGAACCAAAGGGTGGACACATCCGAATTGCCCACCAGGGAAGCACTTCATGATGGGTAAGTAAACAAGTCAACAGGTCTAGAAGACTGTTGTGCTATCCTAGGAGAAACTGTAGGGGACTGGGATGCCAAAAGAATCTCAAAATTTAATTTCTTTTGGCCTGCAGAGGATTTAACCATTCATATAAAACTTGAGCAAGTCTGGGTCCTCAGGGCATGGCTTTCAAAGACACACATACCACTGGACGTGAAATCCTCCAGCTTCGCCATTTACAAAGTGTTTAAATGTTATAGACTTAATGTGACACTTCAATGCCTTCTTTAAAAGAAGGGAAAGATTTCCTCTTTTCAGAGAGTTTAAGTAACCTTTGGGACAAGGGTACATATTAACATTAAAGAATTATTTCCAAAGTACATGGAAATGAATCAACAGCCTTTAGCAGAGCTAAAGGGACAAGTATAACCTATTCTGAGAAGAAAAAATAGTATCAGCAAAGCAGTATTGGTGCAGTTTGGATTATTTTCAGACCAAGTTTTTCTTTTTAAATTTTAGTGATGCATTTTGGCCTTTGCATTTGATATTCTTTCAATACTCTTCACAGCAATAGCTGCTATATAGTCTGTCCTAGACTTACGTGACAAAGAGAAGGTTAGGACAAAGAACCATTTAAGCAGATCAATGAAAAAAGTGGGCAATTAAATTATTTACAGTGTTTCCTCCCCTGAACTGTGTATTTTGGTGGCATTTATCCCATTTTTTTTTCTTTAAGATTTTTTTTAAATCAATTTATTGGGGCTCATACAATTCATCACAATACATAGATCAATTGTGTAAAGCACATCTATACATTTGTTGCCCTCATTATTCCCAACATTCGCTTTCCTCTTGGGTTTCTTTAAGATTTTATGTAATTATAATTATAGTAAATTCTGCTTTGGGATATAAGGCAACTTCCAGTTTTTTTAAGTCATACTGCACTTTAAAAATCTCAAAACTAAGACACTTATGACTTACATCTAGGTGTACAAATTCTGCTCCAGCGATCCTAGAAAGCAAACTAGCCTCGTGCGTAAAAGAATAAATAATTTAAAAAAAGAAAGCAAACTGGTCACCTTTTTTTGTATTAATTGCACAAATCATTTCTTCCTGTGGGCACAGTGACTTTAGTTTTATCATTTTAAAACTTTTTTTTTTTTCATTTTAAAACTTATCTGCTAAAAAGAAACAAGTATCAAAAGATGTTGAAGCCTGACTACTCTGATATTCTTCCTAGGAACGAACACTTGGTGAAGTGTTGAAAATGACAAAAAGAGCAAAACATACAACTTGTGTTTAGTGTCCAAGTGGACTGAAACTTTGAACGGCAAGTGTTTTCAGTTATTTAAGGTATTGTAGTGGGATTCATGCCCAGTACAATTAAAACAGGATTAGACAGCAATTTACAAGTTTCTCAAGGATGTTGTTTAACATGAAATATAAACAATCTCTTCTCCCAAAGCCTACCATCTACAGTCTCAAATGCCAAAGTCTGCTTTGTCAGAGTATAAAACTAAAATGGTGAAGCCACAGCCATCTACGGCTTTTGAGACCAATTATAGGAAACGTGATGCTTTTCCACCAAGCCAAGTAATCCCACCTTGTATAAAAAGAGAAAAGCGTTTGGCATTTTTCCCTCTCCCTGATCTTCCCAATGACTTGGAAATGTGGCAAAGGCAGGTACAGGTGAGTCTCTCTCACTAGGTGCTGCGTTCAGAAAAAAGCTAGAACTTGAACACCTCCAGAGCCTAACACAAGCATCAATGACAACTCTTCTCAACCCAGCCTCACAAAAAGACTCACTAGACGTGAATGGCAAAGGAGTGCCCCTCTAAGATTACAAAAAAGTGCAACAGTTGACAGGTAACTACTGTGCTGTCACAGCCATCACCCTGAAAGACACACACATCCTGTAAAGACATCCCAAACGCGCAGGTAAAGTGACTAGGGGCTGAAATCTGTCCCCCAGCAAAGCAAGTTCCCTGTCCTTTTCAAATGCGTTAGTGAGGGCACACAACTAACACTAATGGAACTCCTGGAACAGGGAAGGCCAAAATGTAGGTAGAAAGGAGGCGTTTCCGCTGGGCTTCCCACCAGAGAAGGTAGGAGGGCGCCGCGTGAAGGGATGCTAGGCGTACAGCACTCACCTGGTGGGAAGCGCCGGGTTTCAGGGCGGAAGCCGAAGGAACGGTGCATCCTCTTCCTCCTCCCACGCGGAGCCTCGGGCGCCGCGCCGCACCCCGCGCTTCGGCAGCCCCCACCTCCGCTCTGCTCCTCCCTCCCTTAACAGTCCCCACGCGCCTGGAACCTCCCGATCGACTTTTGACGTCACGGAGGAGGAGGGGAAGGTTCCACCGAGCCCGTCCCTTTGTGACGTCACAATGACAACACAGGGCGGCCAGCAGCAGCGCAGGGAACCGGGAAACGCGGGGCGCGGAGAGAGGGGGTGCCGGCGGGAGGCCGGAAGAACCGGAGGGAAGGAAAGGGCGCACTGACGTCTAGCCAGCTGAACCTGTTGCTCTCTAGACTACAGC